ACTACCCCCTACCCCCTACTCCTACTCCCTCCCTACTCACTACTCACTCCTCACTACCCACTACTCAATACTCACTACTCACTAAGCACTACTCACTACTCCCTATTCGCTCCTCAATAATCACTACTCATTACCCACTACTCACTGTCCACTACTCAGTACTCACTACTAACCACTCATGGCCCACAAATCACTACTCACTACCCACTACTCGCTACTCGCTACTCCCTACTCACTACTCCCTCCTCCCTACTCACTATTCACTCCTCACTACCCACTACTCAGTACTCACTACTCACTAAGCACTACTCACTACTCACTACTCAATAATCACTACTCATTACCCACTACCCACTATCCACTACTCATTACTCACTACTAACTACTCATTGCCCACAAATCACTACTCACTACCCACTACTCGCTACTCCCTACGCCCTACACAATACTGACTACACAGTACTCAATACTCGCTACTCGCTACTCCCATACTCGCTACTCAATACTCACTATTTACTTCCCGCTACTCACTATTCACTACTCACTATTTACTATTCCCTACTCACTAGTCACTACATAGTCTCTAGTCACGAGTCACAACTCACTAGTCACTAGCCACTAGTCATTACTCACTACCCACTACTCACCAATCGCTACTCACTACACACTATTCGCTACCCATTTCTTACTACTCACTGCTCAGTACTCCCTACTCCCTACTCAGCACTCACTATTCACTACTCACTACTCGCTACTCCCTACTCGTTACTCACTAATCACTGCCCACTACTCACTACTGACTACACTCTACTCCCTACTCACTACTCACTACTCACTACTCGCTACTCAATATTCGCTACCCACTGCCACCACCCACTACTTTCTATTCACTATTCATCACTACTCACTACTCACTACTCACTACGCACTACATACTACTCAGTACTCACTACTCACTACTCACTATTCACTACTCACTACTCCCTACTCGCTACTCACTACTGACTACTCACTACTCACTACTCACTAAGCACTACGCACCACCCACAATTCACTACTCACTAAGCACTACTCGCCACCCACTACTCACTACCCACTACTCACTACCCAGTACTCATTACTCCCTACTCCCTACTCAGTACTCACTACTCGCTACTCGCTACTCACTACTCACAACTCACTACTCGCCACTCACTACTCACTTATCAGCACACACTAATTACTCACTATTCACTACTCACTACTCCCCACTCCCTACTCCCTACTCCCTACTCGCCACTCACTACCCACTACTCATGTTCACTACTCACTACTACTCACTACCCAATACTCACTACTCACTACGCACTAACTCACTACTCACTAGTCACCACTCCCTACTCCCAACTCCGTACTCCCCACACGAGGGGGAGGGGGGGCCCGAACCCCCCCCCCCTTTCCAGCGCCAAGAGGGGGAGGGGGGGGGGGCCGGACCCCCCCCCCCCCTTGAAGGAGGGAGGGGGGAGGGGGGGTTCTGGAACCCACCCCCCCCCCCTTTAGTGTATTCAGGGAGATCCACTGGCGCACTTTCGAAAGCAAGCCGGTTCTGGACCCCGGGGTCTGCCCCCACTTATCGTACATCAGACTCCGCGAATCAGACTGAGCGCGGAGGGGCATGATCAGGCCCGCTCGAAAATGCTCAGCTCAGCTCTTGGAATAGCAGTCTTGGTGGGCTGCTGCGGTGGCATGCGGTTGCTAATGCTGGTGATGTCGTTCCTTGTCGTGGCGTTACCCTGTGAAATTTACCGCGCAGCTGTGAGACTACATCACCTCGCGATGGCGCCAACTCCACTCAACTCCACTCCTCCTTTCTTTCTTGCTCGCGCCTCCCGCCTCCTCCTCCTCCTCCTCCTCCTCCTCCTCCTCCTCCTCCTCCTCCTCCTCCTCCTCCTTTTCCTCCTCTTACGACTACTCGTACTACCACGACTGCTACTACTACTCCTACGACTACTATACTACTATACTAATTTACTACTGCTACTACTAATGCGACGTGCTACTTCTACTATATCTCAACGACTACTACTACTATTCTAACTACTACTGCTACTACTACTACTACTACTACTACTACTACTACTACTACTACTGCTGCGACTACTACTCTTACTCTCACTCTTACTCTTACTCTTACTCTTATTACACTTACTCTTACTCTTACTCTCACTCTTATTCTTACTATTACTACTACGACTACGACGACGACGACGACGAGGACGACTACTATTACTACTACTACTACTACTACTACTACTACTACTACTACTACTACTACTACTACTACTACTACTACTACTTTTCCTTACTACTACTATTATTACTACTACTACTACTACTACTACTACTACTACTACTACTACTACTACTACTACTACTACTACTACTACTACGACTACTCCCACAAGTCTCGTCAAAAATGAACAGAGGACTTCTGAATTCGGTAATTGTGGGGGCAGCGCTACTCCAATGCTGACGGATTCCTGTTGACCCGGACGCGGTGTTGTCCAAAAACTGACCCCACCCTCTGAGCATTGAAGAACGCGATTTCTGACGAGTGCCCGAAAGCATCGTGCTCCAGGATTTCAACTTCCATGTCTGGATATTTTTGACGAGGCTTGTACTACCTTCCCTCCGCCCCTCCTCCCTTCACTTCTCCGCGTTCTACTCCCATTCCTCATTCCCCAGCTCCCCCCCTCCTCCCTCGCCTCCTCCCATCCTTCCGCCCATGCCAATTCCTCCGCCCTGTCCCTTTCTCCCTCCTCCACCTCTTCCTCCTCTTCAACTCTTTCCCTCGTAAACAACTCCTCTCCGTCGCACCCCGATGCCAATCGGAAGGGCGGGCCGAGTGCTTCGCCTGACATGTCCGTACCGCTTACGATCCTGAAGCTGAAAGGTTGGCAACAGCTTCGTGTATTGAGGATAAGTCGTTGTCAAGATGGCTCTCGCCTGAGCGCCGCGCATTTTCGTCTTTAGTCTGTGCAAGGGTTCCATGGAGTAAAAGAGGCCGTTTTCAAAATGTAGTTCTCGCCTGAGCGCCGCGCACATTCGTCTTGAACATCTGCCAAAGCTTCACGGATTGAGAGCGGGTCTTTTTCAAAATGTGGCTCTCGCCTTAGCGCCGCGCACACTCGTATAAACAGTTGCAAGGGCTTCGCAGATGGAGGGCGGTTTCTTTTCAAATGTGGTTCTCGTCTTAGCGCAGCGCACACTCCTTATACTCAGTTGCATGAATTGCACGGGGTCACATGGGTAACCGATTTGAAGCGAATCAGGGCTATCAGGGCGCAGCAGGTACGTTGATTCGTGGTGTTGACGTCCCTGAAGGTCCGGCACGACTCTGGACCGTCAAGATGCAACAGTCAGGTTGATTCGTGGTGCTGCAGTATCGAAACACGTGTCTTGGCACGCCTCACGATTTCCAAACGTGTCTCCCAGCGAAACACTTCCCTCATTGGAGACGAATCCTTGTATGTGGCCTATGAAGAAGGAGCTTGGAGGGAGGGTATATTCCAGCATCGTTGACGAATCGTGGGTTTGCACTAGTTATTATCCTCCTCCTCTTCGTCCTCCTCGTCCCCCTCCTCCTCCTCCTCCTCATCATCATCATCATCATCGTCATCATCATCATCATCATCATCATCATCATCATCATCATCATCATCATCAGCATCATCATCATCATCATCATCATCATCATCATCCTCATCATCCTCATCCTACTCTTGTTTCCTAAGTTCCCTCATCCTCATCGTCCTCCTTTCTCCTAAAAAGCGAGTGCGGGAAGGGTTCTAACAGCGGTCAAGAAGGACTACATAGAAACCCCACAGGGGTACGAAGAGAAGGAGGAGACTGGATTCCTAGATTCGCCGTTTCGCCTGGGACGTCCTCACAATTCTCACAAGAAACGAAGACTTCTACAAGGGGGACAGGGAGAGGCAAGAAACTGGACTCCCGAAGTTTCGCCAGATACTTCCACGGAATTTGAAACCACAGACCACAAAAGAGTCCCACGGGGGGGACAGGGAGGAATAGGAGACAAGGCTCCCGGAATCGGCGTTTCGCCTTGGACTTCCTGAGAAATTAGCAGCGCAGGGACCGTTGCGCTTCAGACGCTCTCACAAATTAAGATTACAGAAGCCGTTTCGCTGGTATTCCCCCCTTCCCCATCCTCAGTACCCCTCCTCCTCCCTCTGATGGTGCTTGCTGTTTGGGATTTGGCGTTTGGTGTTTGGTGCTTGGGGTATTCCGGCTTGGGGTTTGGGGTTTGATATTTGGGGTAGGTTGTATGGTGTATGGTGCATGGTGTTTGGTGTTTTGGGACTGAGGTTTGGGATTTGGTGTTTGTGGTTTGGGGGTTGGGGTTTGGGTTTTGGTGTCTAAGGTGGGTTGTATGGTGTAAGTTGCATGGTGTTTGGAGTTTGGTTTCTGGGGGTTGGTGCTTAGGGTGTTGGGTTTGGGGTTTGGGGTTTGGGGGTTGGAGATTGGGGTTTGGTGTTGGGGTTTGGTGTTGGGGTTTGGTGTTTGGAATGTTTGTGTTTGGGGTTTGGGGTTTGGATGTTGATGTTTGGTGTTTGGTGCTCGGGGTTTGGTGTTTGGTGTGTGGTGTTTGGTGTTCGGTGTTCGGTGGTTGGTGCTTGGGGTTTGTTGTTTGGTGTTTGGGATTCGCTGTTTGGTGTTTGGGGTTTGGTGGTTGGTGGTGTTCGGTGATTTGGGTGCGTGCGTGGTGTTTTGGGGACTTTTTGGAGGCTCCAACTGGGGTCTAGCCCAACTTTGCCGGGGTATAGCCCGATAAACAAGGGTATAGCCCGTTCAACCAGGGTATAGAATTCAGCCCCCCTCCTCCTCCCCCCCCCTCCTACCTCCTCCTCCCCCTCCTCCTCCTCCTACGACGACGACGACGAGCAGACGCGCGAATGCCGCGGCCCCTGGAGG